CCTCCCCCTCCTCCCTCATGTCGGTCACTACGGGTTAGTTTCCATCCAGTAGGTCCTGCTACCGCCCGGTTTCTTCACGGTTTTCCGTGGTTTTACTCAATCTCAATTCAAATACTGTGGTTACAGCAGCATTCCAAGATGCCTCACATAGCCTTCCCAATGCTAACATTGCAGTTCGCCATATTGCAGCCCTTCCAGCCCTGATATCAAAATTCCTATCATATTCAACTTGTCTCTGCTCATAACAAAGGCCACTTCCCAACGCTTTACCCTCTCTGAAACACGCTTCTACCAGAATGGCGAACGGACACTGCCTGGGAACCTTCCGAGCAAGAAGCATCACTCTCCCCCAACCCCCTAAAATGTAGCGTGTCCCAGTGCTCCCCCCTCCACTTTCTCTTCCTCTGACTCACTCTCCTCTTCAGAGGGGGGGTATTGTGTTCCGCAAAACTTTTGAAAGATGAGAATCCGTTTGAGCTCCAAACTTCTGTAATTTATCTTCTGGTCTCCTCAGAAAAAGTCCCTGTAAGTCCCTGCAAGTCCCTCCTGCGTATCTCCCGGCAGGACAGATCCAGTTGTTACGTTTGCCCCCACAGGAGCCGCCACTGAGGTCGCCACGCTGTGCCTGTAGGATTTTGCTTGGAAACCCAGAAGGTGGATAATATTAAAATGGATCTTAGAAGAATAGTGTAGGGTGTTGTGGTCTGGGTTGATCTGGTTCAGGATGGGGACCAGTGGAGACCTGTTATGAACACGGTAACGAACTTTAGGCTTTTTTTTTGTAAACATTTTGGTAAATTTATGAGTAGCTGAGCGACTGGCCGCTGATTAAGAAGGACTCGGCCTCATGGATTTAATTAGTTGATTAGTGCGTGCGTGCGTGTGTGTTTTGTGCCTATCAACACTGAACCAGACAACCGATTTCTACGGAATTTCGTAAAGGTGTTATGTCGCCCGAGATTACCCCAACCGAACTTGTTTCCAAGTTTCTGCAGTCTGTAATTACAAAATGGAAGGTAAATTGAAAAGGTAAAGCTATCCCTGTAAGAAGCCGTGAACGCCCATAGGGCTGTGAGACTTTTTCTAGACAATCGACTCACAGATGGCGGTGAGGTCAGCCTTACGCGCCGGCCGTCCTTTACCCCTAGAAAGAGCCTTGGTACTTTTTCTCTTAGATGCTGAGTCGACCCCAGGGTCATAGTGCGGCTGGAAGGATTTAGAAAATCCAATAACCTCCTCGGGAATGGAACCCACGACCTCCCGGCTTGCACATAGTGGCTTAACCCACTGCGCTACCGCGTGACAAAACGGAGGACGCGCGAACATCTGAGTGGGGCCTGCAGTGTCACTAGGTTCCTACTCTTCTGTTAGACCTTGTAGACATGTGAAAAGTTTGATAGAGGAATGTTTTCGTAGAGTGTGGTGTAGCATCATGGCGCCTTTAGGAATATTTTCCTTGTAGCTTTGCGATGTGACGGCGGTAACTCGACATGTGACTTATGGTACAGAGCTACAACATAAATGTGCGGGAAATATTGCAGGAGAACAGTTACAAACATGGCGACCGTGTGAAGTTTTTGGTGATCAACTTATGCTTCCACTTACACGCACGTATCAAGTGATGTAGGGCCACGTGGCAGCGCAGTGGGTTGAGGCACCACACTGCAAGCAGGAAGATCGTGGGTTCGATTCCCGATTAGGTCATTGGATTTTTCCTAATCCTAATATTAGAATGATTATAAGCTTATATAAATTCTTTGCTGGAATATGGATTGGATTAACCGGCTCAACCTTTTATGGTTACACTATAAACCCTTTCATTCCTTAAACGCAAGACAATTCAGTGAGACGGTATTTCACGGTTTTCTTTTTGGGGGAAAATGTCGCTCTGATGACCTGTATATAGATACAAACTTTTCTGGGAAAACCAGTGCCTCTTTCTTCAGAGTGTATTAATTGTTACGGTGTGAGTAAGTTTCATAGCTTCAACAGTTCTATCTTCTGGGTTGTAACGCTGTGTAATTAGGCAAAATTTCAATGTTTCGGAGTAACATACCGCCTCCATCTTCAGTGTTGAATAATGAGGGAAGCCAGAAACGAGAAAGAAAGGAACGAAACGCTTCTTGCCAGTTTATTCCTCTCCTTACTCCACAACCATAAGCATGAGACGGCCTTGCATCTCAGAGGACAGTGCGGTTATCACTGACCGCTGAGAGAACTTCAGATGCAACATTTCGCATTTTTTCCCCTTTTTTAAATAACTGAAACCGCTCTTTACCTCGTCAGATGCGCCGAGGGGCCTAGCAAGTGGAAAAAGCGGCCAGACTTCGCGGTACACGGAAACTTTTGTCATTTTTCTTCCACATTAAGAATCTTATTCCATTTTCCGTTATCTCTAACACAAACGTTCTCTGAAGCGCGCGCCTGCGCAGTAATACGGCAATAAATTCACATCCGAGTTACGTAATAACTACCCAGAGGCAAGTAAGAGAGAGACAGAGGGAGATGTGACTTGATGGACTCTTTCGTATAAACGCAATTTGCAATTTTTGAAACCCAAAGCTTCCCTTCTTTGTGTCACGTTCTCTAAACTGATCTAACAACGTAAGAATGATGCTCACTTCATTTCGTATTCCCCGGACAGAAACAGACGGCCGGGTCATTCTCTACTCAAGTTGCGGGGTCGCGGGATCGTGATGAAGATGTAAAGGTCCCAGGTGCGGGGAGTAACATGACCTTCCCGTGTTTCAACTTCTGCAAGTGCCACTTTGCCTTACAGCAATTCCCAATTGCTTACGTCAGAGACAACACGGACAGCCTTATCCGCCATTTTATTGAGTTCTGTGTATGTCGCGAGGTAGGCAAGTGTCTCTCATGCCAAGTTTCGTAAATATAGGCCGAGCCGTGCTATAGCTCAGGTAGCTAGTCACCGGTTTGCCACCACGGCGGTTCTTGGTTAAATCCCCGGCCAGTCCATATTTGCTCTGGCCGCTGCCTGGCAACGGCTGTCTCGTTGTTTGTTTGGAGGTAGCTGCTTAGCAACGGGCCTATACGCCGTATTATTCATTGATCATGTGACTGGGGGAATTTATTGCTGTTAGGCCACGACCGCTTCCTTCTAAAGCACCGTGTGCTGGCCAGTCTGCACGGAGAGCTATAGTGCGGCAAGTACAGTTCTATGGGTTGTAACGCCGTGTAATTGGGAGAGAGGACGACGTTTCGAAAGAACTTGTAGGCTCCATCTAAGAGTAAGCCAAAGAAGAAATCAGCTCAACTTTCCCGCCTTCCTTTTTTGGTTTCTTGCTTGGATTTATCTTCGACACTAAAGATGGGGGCGATATTTTCCTCCGAAGCGTCAGGCTGTCTCACAAGTACAGGATATTGCAGCCCAGAAGGCCGTCCGATTTTTGTCACGACTGTGAGAACCTCAGTTCGAAATCTGGTGCGTGCTAAAGCGTACAGGCCAATGGGGATAGGCAAGGCTGCAAGTCAGCACCCGGCCGTGTCGACACAGGTTCTCTTGATTTTCCTCCGTGCTTCTCCTCTAGTTCTCCCAATTTAAATTCATATAAATTAATCACTTTCTGTGGATGCTGCTACATCACCCCATTTACAGTTAGTGATTACATCAAAATTCCGGGACTCTTGCCCGCAGCAGTTCGCGAAACTGTGTAACACCGAGGCAAATGAGCACTGCTCAGGCTCTGGATAATTTCCATGTTCGGCACAGAGGTACTAGTACTCCCTCGGCGTGTCATGTCGCCCCCCGCCCTCGGATGGGTTCGAGAAATGTTCTCGTGTGTCAAGTCGCATTATGCGACGTCTCGGCCTAGACGAGACGGCTCTAGAATTTATCCTGAGATCCTTTGTAGGCGAATAACAAGCCGTGTCTGTGTCTCTTGTGTAGAGAGGCCCTTGTTATTGACAGGTCTGATCCTGCATGCGCTGTGTTTTGTTTTATGTAGATACCTCCACACATCCGGGATATGCACACGTCGAACGCAGACGTTCTCCTCTCTTCGGGACGCCTTCAGCAAGATTGTTGCGTCTCTTCAGCGCGTGTGGAGAGTTGCTTCGCATAAACATCCTCTTAATAGGACAAAATCAACATAAACTGAAGCAGTAATTGGTTTTTGTAACTTACCAACAGAAATACCCGTTCTTGGCCCTGGTCAGGAGCACAATATACACAGCAGATAAACTTCAAAGAAGGACTCGCGCTCTAGTTAACCTCCCTACACTGACCAGTGCTTATACGCCCTGGCAGTGTTACACACTTACACATGTTGTCTATGTAATGCCCCTATGTTATAAAATATACGAAGTATTAGAATTTAGTTTCTTAAACGAATTAAAATTGAGTTATGTGTTAACAGATGTATATATATTTTAACACATAACTCGATTTTAATTCCTTTTGCTTTATGTTGACTTGTCCCTTCTTTCGTATTGTTTAATAATACCCCCACCGTGACCCTGCGAGTAGCAGGAGGCGACAGAGAGGGAACCCAGTGCCTGGGGGTATAACTGGGTCACCCTGTTCCTGGGGCATATATGAATACGGGGACCTGGCCCACCAGGTTGTCGAGTCTCGAAGCTGAGACAGCACATTATGGTCTTGAGACCCACGGGACTAGGACTCGGATCCGAGAATGACTGCGCTGGCGAGGCCCAATAGCAGTTGTAAACGACAGACCCGCCCTCTTGTCAGAGAGGGCGCTCAACTGTCTGACAGTAACACAGATGCTTGACACCGAGACAGACTGGCTGACTGACCGTCGCTCGTAACATAACTTTGGCCTTGACCCAGGCGCTATCCTGCATTCGTGACGACATCCGCAATTAACCATTTACCTTTTTCACTTCCTAAATCTCTACCCTATCTCAAACGTACCTCTTCTAAGAAGACACGCGAGCACTGCCTGGGAGCCTTCAAAATGTTCTGTCTCTCTTCAGGCTTCCACGGAGCGTCAAAACGTTTGCTTTGTTTCTGTTTCCAGATCACAGAGGCGCTGTCCTTCCTGCACTACTCTGGGCATGTCCTGCATAGGAACGTGTGTCCTAGCAGCATCCTAGTCACGAAGAAGGGGACGTGGAAACTCGGTGGCCTGGAGTTCACTGGTAAGCTTCGATACCCTGTGTCTAAACCCCGCTGGTTCCGTCTCTTGTCATGCGAAACGGGAAGACAAATGGTACAGGCAAGTTGAGCAAACGCAGTCTGCTCTTAACTTTGTAAGTTTTGAGGTCTTCACGCCGATGACTATGAAGAAAGTCGTCTTCTGGGTTTAGGCGCCGTGTATTCTTCGATTTGGCC